TGCCAAGGCAAGCCAAGCACATTGAGCACATTGAGCACATTGAGCCCATTGGACAAAGGCGGAAATAAAAACTGAAACCGGACGTGCGCCCGATGACGACCACGCCGGAAATTAAACTATTTGTTAGCGGCACTGGCTCACAGGCACTGTTTATTATGTTCTCAACAATCGCTGACAAGACCAAAATAAATCATACCAAAAACACACACAAACAACAATGAAGCATAAAGAAATAGGCAATACAATTGTGGCTAGCTGAGTCTTACCTGCTTTGAGTCCAATTTCGATCTGGCTTATTGTGAGTCTACCGACTTGGCTTTGTTATGGCCATGTGTGTTATTTTTTGTATCAATTTATATACTCTCTGTGTATTTTGTGCACTTGAGGGTTTGTACGAGCGGCTGTTTGATAGAAATTCTTTTAATGACGTTTAATTTTCAACACTTGGCTTGGCACTTGAAAGTTGCTGTTCGCTTCAGAGTGTGTTTTTAGTTGTTTGGCCAGAAGCACACACAGACACACACACTCGCATGTATACAGCGTTCGCACTCGCACGCACACCTCGTCGCTAGCTCACCGTCTCACACACACAGCCACGCCACACACCTTGACGCTAGAGTATTAGAAAGCATTGCAGAACGCGGCGCCTTCAAACGCTGCTTGGCTTGACAGACTGCTTCAGGGTGCTGAGGCAGCTTCCGCGTTTTGTGTCCTGTTCACGAAACGGCTCAACTCGAACTGTGACGACGCTCAGCTGCTGCGGCCACAGCCAGTCAAGTGCTTCGCTTATGCTTCGGACTCTCTATGTGGCGTGCGCTCTCCCACGCACCTTCGTGGCATTGGAAAGTGCTCCGTGTGTGTGAGTGCTGTTCGGGTCGTCTCGCCTCGGCGTAAAACCAGCTGGCGCAGCATTAAAAAGTAATATCAATTTCCACCTTGCAAACAGCGTCGCAACGCGAAAGCAACAGCTAAGCGATTTCCCAGGATGCAGCAGCGTCCACGTCCATGCACTGGGGCCCCGCCTCCTGTTGCCCACGCATTTGCGTTAGGTGCGCGTGCTCTGCACGTTCCGCTTTGTCTACACAAAACAGCACGCTGTGTGGAGAGTTTTTTCATTTCATAATTGTTGCATGCGAGGATATTGTATATGTTGCGTATACGACAAGGTGAACACAGTATTTAGCTAAAGCGGAAGTAGAAAAAAATAAATATATAAATATATTCAAATTAAATATTGATTTTAAGATTCAAACTATATTTTATATATTTTTTAATTACATTGATATTTTTTAAATTATTTAATAAATTATTATAGCTTTTAGTCGAATTTCAAAAATGATTTAGTTGAAAAAACTCAAACTTTTGAATAGCTGTAATTACTTTCTAATTTCTCTAACAAGCCAATTTCAATGACTGGGAAATGCGTTTGACAACTTCCACTTGGCTTTGTATTTGTATTATTCCGTACACAAACTAAGGGACACAGTGGGACCAAGACACATGCACACACACACACAAGCACAGAAAAAAGCGCAACAGGACCAAAATAATTGCGCGTTAAACATGTGCCAAGCGCTACCAACAGCAACAGACGGAACGCGAGTGAAGGAGCAAAAGAGACGGTGAGAGTGAGAGCCATAGAGTGAGAAGGCCTGACACGAAGGCCGAGCAGAGCCGAAGCCCGGAGAGCGCGACTGGAAATGTTCAACTGGTTGCGTTTTTGCAAGCAACAGGATATGCTGGAAGCCTGCAAAAACATCGACAAGCACAAGAAACATCGCACACAAGGCAAACACAATGGCAAGAACAACACGAGTATTAACAACAATATTGAGGGGAAAGCCAGTTGACTGGCTGACTGGCTGGTTGCTTGGTTGGCTCGGTCGACAGTACAGCGGCGGGGTTGTGGGGATGGCGGCATAGTAGGCTGGCAGCTGGGCCTACAAACAGTCGCGTGCTTAAAGCCTCAATACCAAAACAATTTGAGAGCGCACAATAAAATTGAATGGGCGCAAAGAAAGGACGAAAGCAGCAACAAAAACAACAGAGCCAAACGAAAAAAAGTGAGGAGGCAGCAGAAAAATGTGCCAACGTATAAAAAAAAAGAAAGAAAAGAAATGTTGCGTGTGAAAGGAGCAGCGCCTGTTGAAGGACGAGCGGCCATTAGAAAGCTGCAAAAGCGAACGCACATAGCGTTCGCAATGTTTACAGGTAGCCAGCGAGGGTGTGTTTGGCTCTGCTTCCGTTTGAAGGACATAGCAAAAGGTACGCAGCGTGTGTCGATTAAGATGCTGAGCCATTGTTGCTGTTGCTGTTGTTGGGATTGCCTTTGGGTCGTGACAGACAGCGAGACGCCTGTGCCGGACCCGCACCCGTAGTTGGCGACCCAGTGAAGACCTAAAGCTTTATTGCGCTGGCTGTCAGCTTATCAATTTGTATGCCTGTAGATATTTATTTATGAATATCCTTTGGATGCGTACAGGGCAGTGCTCGCACCTTCATGCTCGCCACTCGCACGAAATGCCGCGTAATCCTGGCGCATACCTGAGGGTCTGTGCGTCCATTCAACCATATTCTGGGCCCCTTTCTCCTCATTCTTCATCTCCTCCATTCTCTTACGTTCGGCGTATTTATCTCTTTTGCTCGCTTCTTTGGCTATGTTTGAGCTTGTCTGCCATTTTGGCGATGCCTTTCTTAATTTTATTTTTATTGCAGATTGATTTTTTCAGATTAAGTTTATTCCGCTCACTGTTTGTGGCTGGCGATACTTTCCCCTCCCTCTGCCTTGGACAGCTTGTTAACAAAAAACTGTTGCCTACTTTTCAGGGCCAGGCCTAATGAAATATTAGTCCACTTGAGTTGAGCGTTGTTTTAAGCCAACTTCTGCTTCAATTAGCAATGCAAGCAGCTCCGGCAAAAACCATAACCGACATGCAAACAGAAAGCCAGCAGCTGCCCCGCCCACCAAATCTCCTCACGGCGAGCAAACCAAAAACTCAAAGTAAAAGTAAAACATTTTCATGCAAATGTTTTTGTTTAACCACGAAATATTTTTAGTATTCAACACACACACGCCTCCCGTTTGCTGCCTCTGTCTCGCTTGCTCTCTCTCTCTCTCTCTCTCTCTCTCTTCCTCTGTGCGACTGTGTTTCTCTTGTACACATACAGAGGTACGCGTGAGAGTCCTGTGGCAAAAGTTTTTACTACTCGCAGCTTAGAACAAACAAAATCAAACCGAGCGCAACAAAGTACACAAATATTTACCTATGTATGTATATATACGTGCAACTGTGTGTGCGTATGTGTGTATGTATTTGGTCAGCTTGAAAAGTCATAAAGGCAGCGAGTCATATCAGCGACACGTTCAAGTAGCCAGAAATGGTCACGCCTCAAAGTAGGCAACAATAAATTGAGCGTTTGCAATAGACCAGCGAAGAGTCAACTGCTGGCAATTGATTTGGATAAAAATATAGAGTTAAGTATACTCAATTCCAAATACAAATATATTATCTTAAATATATATATTTTATTTATTTAAGCTAATGGAGAATATGATTGCAATAAATCGTGATGTGTTGACAAATTGTGGTTCGCAATTTCGTATTGACTAAACTCCACAGGCGCTTATACATAATGGATGTCATAAATATCTGCTCAACTGCTTATTGACTTAGAGGAAAACTGAATGTGTGAGCTGCTCTCCCCATCTATGATAGGACAGTATTTATTTCAATTGCAGTTCATCCCTTTGCTAGTCTTCCCACTTTTTCTAGCTTCAACATGCCAGGCTCCAGCTGGAACGTTTATTTGCTCAGCAAATACTCATCTCTATATATTTTTTTCGCATTGAAATTGATCTAAATTTCGATTGCATTGGCATTCGGTATTGATTGCTAATTGCCTGTCATCAAATTGGATTAAAATTCTATTAAGCTGTCAGCCAAGGCAAATGCAATTGAAGCCGTTGTCGAGTGCCAGAGGTGGTTGCGTCTGAAGGCTTAAGCTGAGTTTGCAATTGCTATGACACTCAATTAATGCAGACCCAACCAAAAGAGCAGCGGCCCACGGGTTGCCCAATGCTTTCTAGCGTTTCCATGATAGCAGACCAACAATTACATTAAATATATGCCAAAAACAAAAACAGGGTAATGAAAGCGCTAGAAGCGTGCACTTAATTGAGTGCAAAGCAAAAGTAAAGCTTATACGACGAGGCGACACACTCTCCAACTGATGCAATGAGCCACTATTGTATATGGTGAGAATGATGAAGTAAGAAGTTTTCTGTAGTTAGTCAATGCTTTAGCAGATCAATAAATGCAGATAACACGAAATTGAAATACTCTTGATAAATGGAATAAATTTGTTAGAGCTTGATTCAGCTTGAGAAATTGCTAATTCAGCTAAATGCTAATTAAATCCTTTTGATACAAGTTCAAGTCAGAAATATGTTCAAGTGCTTTGTTAACTAAATGGCGTAATACCCACTCAAACTCAACTTCTCACGCGCTCGTCCTCTCTACCCAACCTGTTCGCCTAGGTGTTGCCTGTAATAGACAAAGCAACAACCAACGGCGCTTCATTACAATTTTAATTTGGCATTTTAGCTGCCGCCAAGCAGACAGAGCTTAATTAGTACAATTTGCGAGGCAGGACAAGTGTCCTCAGCCTAAGCCTTATTCCAAGACTGGCGACAACTCGAGTTGCTCGCAAATTTTCTTGATTGTGCAATACAAATAGTTTGGCAACGACTGGGCAGCAAACGCGTTCTGTTTGTGGCAGGTTTTTTTTTCTGCTTCTGTTTTTGTGTTTACAGCAAAGTTAATTGAATTTTCACGCCAAAAAGCGGCTGGGCTAAGCCTTTGGCTATTGAGCCAGAACGTGGTCGTGGATGCTCGTTCGATGTGGATTTGGGGGGAGCGGCGAACGGGCTTCTAATGCTTTATTTGACATCATAATTAAGTCGGAATAATTCGCATGGAAATTGCTGTCAAGCGGGTCATAATATTTTAGGCTTTGTGGCAGTTTGCATCTTTGTGGGCTGCCAAAAGTAAATTTAATTGTGAACAGAGGTGCTATGTGCCAAAGGATGTCATTTCATCGATTTGACGTACGCCGTTTCTTCAAACAGTTGCAAAAGTGGCAAATGCGCAAGGTGAAACCTTTAGCTATTTCTTTAATGGATGTACCTGATAAATCTGAGGGCGATAGGAAGCTCTATCGGGCCGTAAATCTATCGAATGGTGTGCGCGCCCTGCTCATATCGGATCCTGGTGGCAGCGATCCGACTGTCGCTTCCCAGTCATCTATAGTCCCATCGAAAGCATCCAGAAGTGGAAGCTCCGATTCATCGCTGGAGCACTATCAAGGCAAATTGGCGGCCTGTGCGGTGCTGATGAGCGCCGGCTCATTTTACGAACCCCGTCAGTATCAGGGATTGGCGCATTTCCTGGAGCACATGATATTCATGGGCTCGGAGAAGTATCCGATCGAAAATGCCTTTGATTCGTTTGTAACGAAAAGCGGAGGCTTCACCAATGCGCACACAGAGAATGAGGATACGTGTTTTTATTTTGAGGTTGAGGAGCAGCATCTAGACAAGACTCTGGATATGTTCATGCATTTGATGAAGGAGCCACTCATGTCCATCGATGCTATGGCACGCGAGCGTTCCGCGCTACAGTCGGAGTTTGAACAGACGCACATGATTGATGAGGTGCGTCGCGATCAGATTCTGGCTGCCATGGCCTCCGATGGCTATCCGCATGGCACTTTCAGCTGGGGCAATCTTAAGTCGCTGCAGGAGAATGTGGACGATGATCATTTGCACAAAACGCTTCATGCATTTCGTCGCAGTCACTATGGCGCCAATCGTATGACTGTGTGTCTGCAAGCGCAAATGCCACTGGACGACTTGCAATCGCTGCTCGTTCAACACTGTACTGGCATACCTCCCAGCGAGGAGCAGCCCTTGGATGTCTCCAAGCTCCATTATAGGAAGGCCTTTCGCGAAAAATTCTTTAATAATGTGCTGCTGGTGCAGCCTGTTGAGGATGTGTGTAAGGTGGAAATAACCTGGGTGATGCCCGCCATGCGACAGTTCTATAGATGCAAGCCGGACGCATTTATCTCCCAGCTACTGGGATACGAAGGTGTCGGTAGTCTATGTGCCTACCTGCGGCGCCGGCTATGGTGTATGAGTGTTATTGCCGGCGTCGGAGGTGGGAGCTTTGAGACGAATTCGATTTATTCGTTGTTCACGGTTGCCATCTATTTGACAGACGAAGGATTCGAACATCTCGATGAGGTGATGGCAGCCACCTTTGCTTGGATACGTCTGCTTCACGATTGCAACACTTTAGCTACCGCTTATTCGGAAATGAAGCAAATCGCGGACACAAATTTTCGTTTTCAAATCGAACTACCGTCAATGGACAACGTACAAAGTATAGTGGAGGCTCTGCGATTTCTTCCCTCCAAAGATGTACTCACAGGGACTCAGCTATACTTTGATTACGATGAGAAGGCAATAGGTGTGGTAAAGCAGCATCTGAATGAGTTTCGATTCAACATTATGATATCATCGCATATACCGTACGAGCATCTGGAGTATGATCAGACTGAGCCCTGGTTTGGCACACATTTCAGAGCCATCGAGATGCCCAGTAAATGGAAGGAAATGTGGATGAATCCAATCCCACATCAGGAACTGAAAATGCCCGGACAGAATCAGTTCATAACGACAGACTTTACAGTGCACTGGTTAGAGGCAGGCAAGCCACATGTGGGCCGAAGACCCAAAGCGCTGATCAAAGATGATTTGTGCGAGCTCTGGTTTCGGCAGGATGATACGTTTTTGCTTCCCGATGGCTTTATAAATCTGTACCTAATAACTCCGCTGATGCGCAGAAGCCCGCAAGATTACATGTCGGGCGTACTATACACCTACTTGGTGGAATTTTGTATCGCCGAGCAATTATATCCGGCATTGGTCGCGGGTCTAACCTACGGTCTTGATACGGCCGATAAGGGTCTGGTGCTGCGTGTCAGCGGCTATAACCAGAAGCTGCCGAAACTGCTGGAGATCATAATGAATGTAATGCAAAATATGACAATAGACCCAGCTCAAGTTGTGTCCTTCAAGGAGCTAAAGAAGCGACAGATTTTCAATTCGCTTATAACGGGCAGATCATTGAATTTAGATCTGCGTCTTACAGTCTTGGAGCACTTGCGCTTCAACCTGATGCAAAAGTACCACGCCTTGGAGTCCATCAACATAGAGAACGTAGAGAGCTTTAAAAATAACTTCTACAAGAAAATGTATGTGCAAGCCTTGATTCAGGGCAACTTCACCGAGCAACAGGCTCGTGACATCATGAAGATGGTGAATACCATCTTCCGCAGCGAAAAGGTGGAGAATCTTGGGGAGCAGCATAATCGGCTGATGCAGCTGCCGCTGGGCGAGCATTTCTTACGCGTGAAGACTCTAAATGAGGACGACCCCAATACAATTGTAAGCAATTACTATCAAATTGGACCGTGTAATCTGAGAATGGAATGCCTGATGGACCTGGTTGATTTGGTTGTCGAGGAGCCGTTCTTCAACCAATTGCGTACCAAGGAACAGCTCGGCTATAGTCTGGGCGTTTACCAGCGTATTGGCTATGGTATTCTGGCCTATATACTTAATATAAACACTCAAGAGAACAAACACAAAGCAGAACACGTGGAGGAGCGTCTGGAGGCATTCCGTTCAAGTATGCCTCGCCTGATAGAACAGCTGACAGATCAGGAATTCGATGAAGTACGCGAAACACTAATCAATGGCAAAAAGCTAGCAGATTATAGTTTGGACGATGAGGTCCTGCGCAACTGGAGCGAAATCGTCAGTATGGACTACTTTTTCAATCGCACCGACCTGCAAATACAAACATTAAATGGCCTAACCAAGCAGGATGTTCTCGAGTTTCTTGTAAACTATGACAAATACAATTTGCGTAAGCTCTCTGTTCAAGTGATTGGCGCGTCCTCAGTGTCCAGGGTCTCGACTACGCAGTCTATAGCTGATGCTGTTGCAGCCAGAGGCTCCACTGTGGGCCTGGGCAGAAGGCCCGGTTCCCTGGCCATGTTGCTCGATGAGGTACAGCGAAACATATCCGAGGAGCAGTTACTCTTTGAACAAATTGGTAATCGTATTCGCCTTGAGTTTATTGGCGACGGAAACAATCCTTCACACATAACAGATATATCTGCATTCAAAAAGGACCTGCACGTATATCCTTTTGTCACTAGCAACCCGAAGTATGACACCAAGGTGTAGTCGCAAATGAAATAAAAAATGTGTCGTCCCTATTTGAATCGTAGTCCATATAAATCAATCAAAGTACTGATTAGTGAATAAACCAAAAATATGAAAGAACTAAAAATTTTAAATGATATATAAAATGAATACTTTTTTAATTAATACTTTTTTTTAGTAGCAACTGACGTCTTTTTAATAACGCAAATTAAAGTCGGCTGTATAAATTTATTTGATCTTCCATCTTTGGCTGTGTGACAAATTGCTGTGGCAACTGTTGCTGGCACATATTGTGGCGGCTGTTGCTTCTGTTGTTAATAATTATAGGGCATGGCAATGCTTATGCTCGACAAAACAATGTTCTTTCGAAATAAAATAAAAAAAATGTGAAATGTGATAACTTTTGTGCGTTTTGGAACATTGATAGAATAAGAGAAAATCAGCAAATCATTTTTGTTAGACAAATTAAAATTTTCATACTTTCAGCTTGCCTTAAAGTTACCAACTAATTAGTTGGAGTTAAATTTCAAACACGGCTATAGAAATGTTCAGAGCTGAATTGCATGGGTTGATTGCCGTTGGCTTAAAAGGATTCGGTTCCTGCTGGCGTTGCTAAGCACTGAGGCTCATTATAAAAGCACATTGTGCTCTGGCACTCTCCGCACTCAAGTGTACAGTATATGTATATGTATATGTATTTATACATCTGTCTTGCTCTACATTGGCTTGGAGCTGCTTGGCAGCAGTCCAATTGTTCGACTTCGTTGTTCTGCTGCTGCAATTTTGCGGCATATTGTTAGCTTATTTCGGTTCAGATCCAAAAATAAACTAAACACACATCTGCGAATGCCAGTTAACCAGTTTGCCAGTTACGCCCACCCCAAAAAGAGCCGCCCACCAATCAGGCAATGCCCGGTCTGGTCTGGCCTGGCTAATGATAAGCCTTGTTTTGTAGCCATTATTATTATTGCTGCTGCTGATGCTGCTGTGTGGTTGTGGCTGGCTTTGCCATCAAGTCATTATGAGAGCGCATTATTCTGCCATTGATTCTGATTTTAATGTTGTATACGCACTGCTGACTTTAATTGCGCGCAACTTTGCAACTTAGTTCTGACTGCTGTTAACTTACTTGACTGTCTGACTGACTGACTGACAGCACCTGGAAGCTGGAAGGCATTGAGTTCACGAAATGCACTTTGGAAAAATGAATAAAGTTTTTATTTACGCAATAATTTCTTGCACAGTTATATGTATATATATATAAGTATATGTATATCACTTGTTATATTTAATAATATATATTTCTGTGTTCCTTTTTTGGCCGATGGAAAAAAACAGACACAGCTTTTATGAAGTCATAGAATTGATGCACTGCATTTTATTGATTTGTTTTTGTATTGTATTTAAATTAAATTTTAAACGCAACACATAAAATGTTTAAGCCAACATTAAAGTAGATTTATATATGTATATATATTTATATATTATGTAATTGAATTAAGCATTAAAAAAAACAATAAATTTAGTTATTGATAATAAAATTCTGTGCGCCTGTCAGGCACCTAACAATAAGTAAACTTTTAGCAAACTCTTTTTTTGTTAATTTTTTGTGGTTCTTTTTTTAAATTAATTTAATTAATGAATTGATAATAATGGAAACATTTTTTCAAGCTCATTGATGATAATGTGCTTTTATGTTAAGCATGAAATTGAATTAAATCAGTTGCAATTTCATCAATATCTAAGTGGATTATTGCAGATGTAAACAAGTGTTAATTGAATTGCTGATGTTGATTTTTATGGGCGCGTTTTCGCCTATCGCCGCTGGACTTAGGGCTATAATTAAATAAAGTATATCAAGTAATTTACTTATATAAAAATATATTTATATATATGTATATGTATATGCGTATATTTTAGGTTTAATATTTATTATTGTTTTTTTTTTGTTTTTGATATTCAATATTTTGCATTTTTAGTTTAGTTTTCTTTTTCAATTGTTGAAATATGTCAATTGCTCAGTTGCATTCAAATTTCGATTTGATTTTCGTTTTAATTTCTATGTGCGAGTGTGTAAAACACTATAAATATGTCCGAATGCTAAGCATGCTCTCAATTTTCACTTACACTTAACCGAACTGTATTTAACTAAAATTGCTTATTCATTAAATATTACAATTTACTTTCCATTTATTTAAGATTTCATTTAACAAGTTAGAATCTGGTTTAAAGTACGTGCCGCTTTAAAGAAATTTTTATTTTAAGTAACGGAATTTGCTCTTTCTTTTCTCTATTTGCCTCGAAAAATAATTTACTTTGCGTTTAAATAATTGGCATTAAATGAATTATTTTAATTGATTTAATTAAAGTTAGTTTCTTTTTTCGACTACTTTAAAGGCTTTTTCTTTCCTTGTAGGAAATACTTTTCAAATTGTTTACAATAATTTTAATTTGATGCATTTAAATTAGTTTCTATGAATTTTATTTTTTGTTTTTTTTTTAGTTAATTTCATTTTAAATAGAACTTAAAACAAAATTCTTGAATGTGTTTTAATTGTTTTTTTCGCAATGACAAAACATTTGTCGCATATGTTTTTTCCGTTTCTTTTGCTCAACTAAAGGAAGAGGCTCAATCAAAGTTCATTGCTGAGCAACAATATCAATCATCAATCATTATTATTATAATCATCCTTAAATCATCTCATTCATGCTCTCTTAACTCACTTCTCTCGCTCGCTCTCTCGTACTCTCTCTCTCTTTCTGATAGACTTTTAGTTAGATTTCACTCGCGATATTTTCAAATTGGAATGACCTTAATTAGAAACATGTACATTTTTTTTATCGAGCTTTACAACATTTTTTCTTGTGTTTTATTTTATGTGTATAAATATTTTTTGTTTGTTTCATGTATTTTCATTCATTTCAAACATTTTGGCTGCTTTTTTACATATTTTGTATATTTTTTTGTTTTGTTGCTGCTGCTTATAGGAAAGGGTTCAGAAATATAGTGGAGTGTTTTTTGGACTAACTCTCCCGGCAATTTTGGCTTTAGTTGTGTATGTGTTTTTTTCATTTTCATTTTCATTTTGATTTTCTTTTATATATTGGAAATAGTAAAGTTTTGAAATTTCAACTATATCGTTCAAATGTTTTAAATGCATTTAGAAAATAAATAGGATTTCTTTTTAGTTGTTTTTCACTTTTTGTATTTCTCGAAACGAATTTTCAGGAATATTTTTGAGAACAGTGAGCCACACGATAGCGTGTATTGCATAAGGATCGTTTGAATGGGCAAAGCAACCGGTTTGACCAAATTATTGGCCCATTTTAATGTTTATTGTGTGTGTATTTTTGTGTATGGATGTGCTGCCTTTTATTATACGGTAAAGTCACCTGCCGCCCAGCTCATCTTGTAGTCATCAATGTTGAACAAGTCGAAAATGTCACTGGTGGCATTGAATGCATCCACAGCACCGCCGCCGTTGTCCATGGCGTTGCCCATGCCATTGGCCATGCCCGTCGTTGCCGCAGCATAGTCAACGTGTCCAGCTGCCTGGGGTTGTGTTACTGCCTGCATTATAGAGTTCAATGTGTTCTCGAAGTCGTCGCACACGTCCATCGGGGTGCTATTGTAGTGACCATTTGTCGGGCCACACTCCACGGCAGCCGAAGTGTTGCTGTTGTTGTTGGTGTTGCTGCCGGCACTGGCAGTAACATGCTGACTGAGCTGTGCCACAAAACTGTCGGCATCGAAGTCCACATCGCCGCCGTGATTGTTATTCAAGAGCACGCTATCCGGACTGCTGGCGTCGAGCAGCTCGTTGATGCTGGGCTGCAGGCTGGGATTGAGATCGCGTCGCATATTGTTGCTGCCGTTCTTGGCACAATAGTTTTTTGAGTCGTCACCAATGTCCATTTCCAGTTGCTGCGACATCAGCTCCAGCAGCTCATACTCATCAAAATGATTGAGCTTAGCGTCCGGGCTATTGGGCTTCTCGCTGGCGCAGCCACTTCCGCTATTGCTGTTGCATTTGGGTGGCGTACTGGGCGGTGGTGTGGCATGATGCTGTTCCAGGAATATGTCCAGAGTCTTGGCTACGCTCTCTGCATCGATGACAGAGGCATCTGGCTGCAACGGTGAGGCCATATCAATATTCTCAATGTAACCATGAGCGCTGGCCTGGGGATTGCTGGACGCATAGCTGATGTGGTTGTCGTTGGTGTCCATGGCCATGTCCAGGTTTGGCAGCGACTGTGGCGTGAGTGGCGCTTCCAACTTGGGCACGAGCGGCACAATGCTGGCGCCGCCAGCTGCAGTCCTTGGCGCCACTCCATTGAACATGGCCAGTTCGGGCAACGGTGTCAGCGGCGTTATAGGGTCCAGCGCGGCGCTCTCTGGCAGCTCACCTTGCTTGATTAGTATGTCTAGCACATCGCTGACCTGCTCTGATTTGATGCCCGTTGGCTTGCGCTGCATCTGGCATTTGCCGATTGCCGGTGCTGTTGCTCCTGCTGCAGCTGCTGCTGTTGGAGGCGCAGGTGATGCAGCTGGCTCCTCTTTAATCTTCATCAGCGGCATGTTGTTGCCCATGGCGGCGGCTGCTTTGCTGGCCGCCAGTTGCTTTGTGGCCTCCTCGTACTGTGGCGGCGGCGCGGTTGTGGGCTTTATGTCTAGCTGTATAAGCTGCTGTTGACCAGGCTGGAAGTGTTGCTGTTGTTGCTGTTGCTGTTGCAGTTGTAGTTGTTGCAGCTGCTGTGGCGAAATGATTTGCTTCGCATCAATGGGAAACACAATGCTGGGCAACGAATTTGTGCGCTGGTGGCCATTGAGCAACTTCTTTGTGGCAGATGATGCTACTGTTGCTGCTGGCTGTTGCTGCGGTGCAGCTGTTGTTGTTGTTGTCGCTGTGAGGCTTATATTGCCCAACGTGTGCGCCGTCATCTGCTGATCGTTGAGGCCCAGCAGGAATATGGTCTGATTGCCTTCGTTCCAGACGAGACCCACGTTGTTGGGGTGCGTTGCGGCTGCTGTTGCTGTCGTAACTGGCTTGGCAAGCATTATTGTTGATGTGTTGGCTGCTGCAGACGCAGCAGTAACAGCGCTCGACTGTTTGGTGGGCGTGGCTGGCAGCTTGGATGCGCTATTTGCGTTGTTATTGTTGTTGGATGGAATGAGTACAGTTTGTGTCTTTTGCGTAAGCAAACGCATCTGTTGCTGCTGCTGTTGCTGTTGCTGCTGCTGTTGCTGCTGCAATGCTGCTGCAGCAGCAGCCGCCTTTTGCTTTTGTATCTTCGCCTCCAGCTGCTGCTTGACCACCATTTTCTGATTGATTGGTGCCGGCGGCTGCTGCTGCTGCTGCCCATTGTTGTTGGCTTGAATGCCGCTGATGTTGGCGGGTTTCTTGGCTTGACTGCTGCTGTTGGCATTGTGCACACCGTTTAGCTTGCCAGCTGGCGTGGCTGTTGCCGCCGGCTTCACGGTCACCTTGGCGGGTATAGTCTTCTCCAGCTGCGGCAACACCGTCAGCGTTTGTTGCGGCCCATTCCCCGTGGTGGCTATCAGCGTAATCTGCTGCGACGGCAACGCGTTTACAACCTGCGCCGTAACCGTTTGATGCTGGTGCATTCGTCGTATTTGCTGCAGCTCCTGTTGGGAGCGTTGCAGCTGCCGCTGCAACTCATCTATTTTGCGCTGCTGTCGACGTAGCAGCTCGTCGTTCTGAATGATGGTTGCCGTTTGGGGCTGTGGGGGCAGAATCGTTTGCAGCGTCATCGCATGATTGCTGTCTAGCTGCTGCACAACATCCATATGCTCGTGCTCCAAGGCGCTGGCAGGCGACTCGGCCACCAACATGGCCACCGGCGGCGGCGGCACATCTGTAACGCCACAATTGCTGGTGTCCATAGCATCGCTAATGGTGATAACCTCTGTAGCAGCAGCTGGCGCGCTGGCTGGCGTGCAGCACTCGATGGGCTCCAGGGGCAGATAAGGCTTTAAGCGCTCAATCAACTGCGGCTTGGGCCCAGAGACAGGCAAATTGCGTCGCTTGAGATGCTGCTTCAGGTCGGATACCTTCATTTTCTCCAGACGTGTCAGATCTGTTATGGAGCTGGTGGACTCCGCATAGCTATTGGCCGGACTGGGCGGTATAGAGGAGCTCACGGATAGCGCTGGAGAGGGCAACGGCGGTGGATGTTGCTGCTGCATCGTGGCCGGGGCAACGACTGCTGCCGCTGTTGGCTGTTGTGCGGCTATCAGCGAGAGGGTTGGCGGTGCGGGAGTGGGCGCAGCTGAAGGCGTTGCTGTCAAAAATGTGGCATCCCCGAATTTCAGCGGTGCATTGCCCGTGGTGCTGGTTATGGAAATGGTGTTGGGCAACGTGAGAGGCGCCGGTGTTGCAGCTGTTGTGATAGATGTGGCCAGCGCCGGCACTGTCTTGGTGGTCACTGTGATGCTGTTGGCTGTGGTGCTAATAGAGTTGTTGGCGGTGGCTGTGGCGGCACTGGCAGCGGGCAGTATGGATTGGTTCTTGTTGAGACTCTCCAGAAACTTGAGCAAATAGTTCTGCTGCTCAAGGAGCAGCTGGTAGGAGGTCGTTTGATCCGACTGCGCTTGATCCTGTGCTTGGCCCGCGGCGCTGGGTGGTCCTTTATACTCGTGGAATTTTATGGTTCGCGCCTTGGACACCGGCTTCGACTTGGACTTTTTGCGATTCTTGTCCTTGCCGGGCGCATCCGATTTCATGGACACCGGCTGCAGGTGCAATCGCGTCGGCGGCGGCGGCGGTGATGCAATGGAAGACAGCGGACTCAACGTCGATGTGCTGGAGCCTAGGGAGCAGGGTGAAGCGAGCATAGGCAGCATATGACTGCTGGCTGGACTGGCTACTGGCCCGACCACGCTCTGGCACAGCTCCTCAAACAGATTGGCCGTCTCTTGCTTCACCTTGATGGCACCGCCAACGGGCATAGGCGGTGGTGGTGGTGGCGGTGCACTCACGATATGGGTGCCACCCATGTGACAATCTGTCGTATTGAGCAGCTGTATGGAGGGCATTACGCTGAGCACCAACTGGCCGCAGTTGCTGGGCGTTGATGTTGGCGTGGTCAGCGCCACAGTGACAATGCCCGCTGAGGCAGCCGCTGCCTGTAGCATATCCTTGGGCGCCGATGTGAGCGGCTCGGCGGGCGCCACTGCACCGCTGCTAGCCGCTGTTGCCGCAGGCATAAGCTCATCGAGGCGCGGAGGCGTCTGCCGCGTGTCGCTCTCCGAGCTCTGCGAGTCCTCTTCGAAGGTGACATAGCTGTGCGGATGCTGTGGCCGCGTTAACAGACCCTCACTGGTTGCCTTGAATGGCACCAAGCCCTCCTTGACAATCTTCTCGATGGGCTTCTCCGTGTGCAGTATGTTCTTCTTGATGAGCTCCAATGGTCCCGGCCTATGCTGTATCTGTGAGTTAAGCTGATCCGCCAAGCGCGCCTTCTTCAGCATGCGCTGCTTCTCCGCCAGACTCGGATCGATGTGGCACTCATCCTCCTCCAGTATGTGCAGTCGCTCGAGATCTTCGCGATTCGGCCGCTGTTGAATTTTGGCCTTCAGCAAATCGCTGGTCTTGGCGCGCTCCAGTTGCTTGCATTGTTCGTGGATGGCGGGCGAGGTTTTGAGCGCTGCGAAAGTAAAAGGGAAGATTGGGATATAGCTTAAATGGGTTTGAAGACACTTTAAAACTAATTAATCAAATCTTTGCTCTATTTTTGGTAAAACTTTCCGACATCTTAAAGAATAAATTGAAATTGTTTATTTAAGTGACGCCTGGGAGGCAGCTTAAAATTATTATTATTTCATTTATTTTTCTTTTATTTTACTTATTTACTTTTTTGGCTATGTCGAAAATTTGTCATTTAAATTCAAATTCAAATTCACTTTCGGCTACGCTGCGCTCCGCGCATTGAATTGGTTTGTAAATTCGCGTATTTTGTTGATTCTTTTCGACTTTCTTCCGTTTGCGTTCAACTTTCTGTGGCGTCGCGCATAAATTTGATAAGGAGCCCATTGAATATGCGCACATATTTGCATATCCTTTCGCTGGACTTTTAGATTTGGCAGGCTTCGCTGCTGAAGCACATAAGTGGCTCTAATGTGTACTTTCTGTGGCGACGCTTCAATACTATTTATCGATTTGACTAGGCCAAAGCCAGCCAATATTGCGTGTAGCAAGTATACGCAGCGTGTGCTTCACTTACATGGTATAATGCCCTGTTCGACAAGTTGCGAGTGCGGCCGTCGCACCATCAGCTTCACTTTGAGCGCTGCAATGAGAGATAAATAAATACAATCATTATACATTAGCATAGTAAAAGAAATGACAGTTCAACAAGTTGTGGCTACAAATCAAATTCCACAAAATTTCAACGCCCATAAATTATAGAGTTTGGCTAGTCCAAGGAGGGACCTCGCTCACACAGATCAAAACAAAAACATAGCCCATAAAAAATGCTCTAAACAGCTGGCCAAACTGCGAACGCCAAAGTTTTCAGCGGGTTTTCGTATTTCTTGACAACCCAAAGCAATAAATGTCGAGCCCAGCACACGGAAAACGCAAAGAGAAAAAAGCAGCTGCAAATGGAAAACAACAAGGCAACAAAACGCACAAAAATATTACTGCAAAGCTAACAAAGAAAAAACACCAGAAAAAAAGAAGGAAAAGTTTTAATATCTTTATGTGCGGTCTGCCTTTGTTGTTGCTCTCATTGCTGTCGTTGCCGTTGTTGTTGTGTAAACTTTTCCTTATTCATTTTTTCTGCTTAACACCAACGAGAGTGTAAAGTTGGCGCCCTCAAAAATTAAATATTTAAGCCGGGCGTCGAGAGCGCTGCCAGCCCACATGCTTTGCCGGGCGCCATGGGGCGTATGCGTAATAATATGATTATGTGGCAACTGCTACTAAATGACAGATTGATGTCAATTAAGTTGACACAAAGTCAGTCGCCAAAATCTGTGCTGCGATAACAGCGCCACACAATGGCCACACACAGCTGGGGCAGCCACAAGGCCAAATCCATTTAAATTGCTTTCATTGAATTCATGCTAAACGGCAGATACCCTAGCTTACAGACAAAGCGAAAACTAAATTGAAAATGATTTTCAAATACATGCCGAATACACATTAAGCATACGACTTGCTGGTATTAATTGCGCTGTTGACATTAGCGAGAAAAATGCACAGAAGTCTTGTAATTAAACGAAATCATTCGCATTAAGTCAGTGGACTGGAGCTAAATAAAGCCAAAAACCACAAATGAAATGAAAACACAAATCTTATGGCTACAGCAGGACACTGGACTGTGGCTTGCTGGATGGTGGTTGCTGCCGCTGCTACTGTGGTTACAGCTTTGCTGTCAAGGCCAACCGCATGAAATGCCAAATGCATTGCAGACTTTATTTCATTTACATTTTTTTGCGTTATTTTTGGGCATTGGGTTAACGCGGTTAGACATATGCACGTATTTATTTGCAAGCATGAAGACAAGTCAACAGACGACAGACGGCAGACAGCAGCCAGCCAGCCAGCCAGGGCAACACTTGACGCCACAACAAAGTCGCAAAAGTGACGACGAAAACGACATCAAAGCGAGCTGCTGACGATGACGTTATTATAGTAATTTAGGCTCTTGGAAAATCATCATAAAAATTAAAAGAAGAAAAAGAGAAGAACAAACATATAATCGCGAGCTGCGGAGCTGCCAAGGCGCGTAATTGTCTCGCGGGTAGGCGCTGGCAGCTGTTGGCCAAACGGTCGACCATTTTTATGATTGAAGTGTGCACAGTGCGCAAAAATGTATAAAAAAAGAAAAGAAAAAAAAGAGGATATCACTTGCAATCTCGCTCGCTGTTCATTACGGCAAATATTTGGGCAAGTAACACGGCTAAATTCAATCCTGGTGACGAAGCCAACGATTGCGCCGTCTGCCAAATTAATTACGCTAGCAATTTATTCTTGGGGTTTTCATCTGCCTCTTGTTATCGCTGTTTCGTCGTCTTATTCTTCTCAATTTCTAAATGGGCGCTGCGCTGCTCGGCTCTGTTTACGTGTCGATTTTACACCTACACACGCGATTGATAAAAACAATAACAAAATTCCAAATTAAACACATAAAAGTTTTTATGCGATAGCAATAAAAGTGTAGACGTAGCCAAATCGTTCTTAATATTGTTGTTGCTGCTTTGCTTCTTCTTCTCGTTGATGCTGTTTTTGTTGTTTTGGATTCGGCTTGCCCTTCTGCATGGAGGCCCAGTTCCACGGGCGAAGGTCAGGTAAACAAAGCGAAAAAAACCCCGAGAGCGAGATGAGTGCGGCAACAGCTGGCTGACCGCACATACATAGGAATATATATTTATATATATATATACGATAAATACATGTATATAGTATTATAAAATCGATTACGTGATCAGCGGCAGCGCCTTAGCCAAGACGCCATCAGCGTGGGCCAAATCAATGAGCAGGCGGCCAAGTAAACCAAAACATTAACAGCAGGCAGCACAGTGGGCCGACTATACGAAACACGAAGTCTAAAATAAACTAATGCATATTATTTAATAGCTATTAAGCTTGACAGAGCTACCTTATCATAACTACAGTCAGAGTAAAGATTTGCAGATATTTCATTTTAGATACGGAAATCATGTTTCGCTTGCCAACTTTCATAAACAGCTCATATGCGCAAATATTTGTTACGGCACCTTGAACCACTGTGCTATGGCATTTCACATGCCTGCCGACTGCCGTTGCGGCGACTGTTATTTCCGCCTTGGCGTTTGCCTGCAGCATTTACAGAATTTACAGCCACAACCACTCGCTTAACATAGCTGCCCCGCATCCTCAGCCGCACAGCGTCACTGCCCTTCCCGCAGCCCGCTAGGCCAAGCGTTTTAAAGTCGCGTGCAGCGTGTTTATTTGTCAAAACATTTTTGCAGCGCCTTCACCGCCTGCGCCTGGCCGCCATCTGTTTATAATAAATTTTAGTTGCAAATTGCAAAATGTTTACAGTGGGGCAGCAGCAGCAGCAGAAGCAGAAGCAGCAGCCATTGCTGTTTGGCCTTTTTTTCTTCAACGCTAATATGCAGTTGATGTTTATTTGTTAGATAACGGTTTTTGGCTATGTGTGCGGGTGCTGATGTCTGTGTGTGTGTTTGGCTGCCGGAAATTTGGGCTGCCCATTGGTTTTGGCAGTTTATATGAATTATAATATTGCCAAAATGAAAAAAAGCAAACAGAGGTGAAGAGAGAGAGAGAGAGAGGGAGAGGCGAGGAAAGCTCAACGAGCTGTAGAAAAAAAAACACATTGCATTGCGAAATGCATGCAAATAATTGGCGCCTTTTGTCAGGGTCAGGGTGTTGTGAACTTTTCGCTAGGGGTTGGGGCTGCCGTTTTGGCAGCCACTAAACACCGACAAAAATGTCAAAATGCCAGCCAAGCGCAGGCGACAAGAGCTGTCAAAACTATTAGCGGCTATGCGCGACTATTACACACACAGAGAGATACACACTCAAATATAGATTTACACATACATATACACATATTCAGGCCATTCAAAATGAATAAGATTATTTCTCTTCACTCAAAATGCCAAGCAAATATGTAGGCCAAGCAGTAGGAAAGAAGCTAAAACGAAAAACTGTTGACAATTTCTGTATGCCTGTTCGGGCCATGAATGAGTTTGGCTGCTGCTGTTGCAGTGGGCGTATTGGATGCTGGGCGTGGCAAAACATGTGCACGCCTTAAGTGCCTGTGGCGCAGTGACAGCTTCATTAAGACTTTTGCGCGCTTTGCAATCTGCCTCCAAGTCGATAATAAGCAAAATATTGCGATGATGCTGTTAGTGATGAGGCAGCTTCTGTTGGTCAGCGTCAACTGTCGCCAATGTATGACTAAACAAAGCTATGAAAAGGCAAAGCGAAAATAAAATAATAAAACACAACAAGCTGACAAATGTCAAACAGCCGCGAGTTGGCCAAAAAGGTGGGCGTTTGCACCAAATATGTAAGCATGAGACAACAACAAAGCGCAAACAAGCAAAACCAAGGGCCAAAACTGAACTGAAGAGCAACAAAGCTGAATCTTGAAAGTTTTGAGATGAGAATAGGGCTATGGGCTGTAGGGCAGTAACAGCTGCTAGAGACTAGTTCTAGTCGACCTAAATACTTTACTCACATTCTTTATTCTTATCCATGGCCGGCTGTAACGGACTAGAGTCGACAATGGCCTTTGGCGGTGATTGTCGTGCATCGTAGCAATCGGAATTGTTGCCATCGTCGCTGCTGCCCAGAAACGTCGCGTCCAGACGCTGTTCACCTGTTGAGATAACAAATTGTTAGCCATAAATTAATATGATTCAATATCTAGCTACTTGTACCTTCCGACATATCGTCGTAGGCGTCGTGCAGGAATATTATATCCTGAAAAGTATGCTCCAAGGCCTTGCCGCTGAGCCGTGTGGCCAGCAGGCCGTTGCAGGTGGCGCTCGAGATGAGCTCAACGGTGGCCAGCGGTGATGTGGAGATGGTGGCCAGCAGCGATGAGCCGCCGCTGCCACTGCCACTCGCGCTGCTGCCGCTGCCGCTGCTCAGACTATGCAGCGAGGCGGACTTGACCAGTTGGCCAACCTTTGGGCTACTATTGTGCGTCTTTTGTGTGGCCTTGAGTGTGCGTGCCAGGCTCTTGTTGGGCGACGTGGATGTGGACTTGTTGAGCAAACGTTGAGCCGTTGCTGCGCTAACCGATTTAGAGCTAGAGTTGGAACTGTTGCTGCTGCAGCTGCTAACGCTGCTAATGCTGCTGCTGCTGCAGCTGCTGTTTGATTTCTTGGAACAGTTTGAGCTTATGGATGAGGCGGGCGATGCTGATGAGGAACAGCTGCTTAGTATGGTCGATTGCTGCTGCTGTTGTTGTTGCTGCTGCTGCTGCTGCTGCTGTTGTTGTTGTTGGAGTGTATTGTTGCTGCTGTTGGCTGTTTTGGTGTCGATGCTTATGGGTATGATGCTGGTGGCCACCAGCTTCTGCTGCCGTTGTTGTTGCTGCTGCTGCTGTTGCTGTGGTATTTGTGGCTTGTTTATTGTACCGGCTGCTGCTGCGATTGCCGTGGCGCCTGACGTGCTTTGAAACCAACTGGGAAAGTTGCCTTTGAGCGTATCAATGAGATCCTGATCGAGCGTTAAACGCCACGATGCAGGGCCGCCGTCCACGCTGTGCGTAGACTCTGGAAAACAACAAAGCAAATATATATTAATTTATATGCATACACCAAACGCTGCGTATACTTAATTTTAAATTTAAAGCTTGGCTTGAGGCCAGAAAATTGACAAATATTGTTAAATTTATGTCTTAATTGTTTAAGTTTCCTGCAGCCTTGACTCTTAAATGACAGCTTAACTTGCAGCAAGCAACAAGTGCCGCAGTTTCATTAAGAAAATTCAATTGAACGCGCTGTCGCCTGACCACGCAACTATCAAGCAAGTCAACTCATTTGGCTGACATACAAACAGATATATCTATATATATATAATTTATTTATTTATTTATTTATTTAGTCGAGCTGTTGCGCACTTATTTATTTTAATGTTCACCCTTTGGCGGCAAAGCCAATGACGCAGCTGCCCGTGTGCTAGTTATTTGTGCTAAGCACTGCCAAGTAACCTACTTAGTGCTCAATACGCCCAGCCACCGGCCACCGGCCACCCGCCAACCACCCCCTCGCAGTGAAAACTTAGCAACGCGCGTACTTGGTTTTTTTTTTCAATTTTCATTTTTCTTCTGCTTTTCCTTGCAATTTCTTTTCTCGCTTATTTGCCGTTAGCGCTTTCTTTGGCATTTGTCGCCTTGTGTTTATTTACGCACTTGTCGATACTTTTTCTTGAGTGTGGCATATTTAATAAGCTGACTAGGTGTCTGTGTGGCAAGTAATTGTAATAGCTGTAAGTGCGCTGAAATTTTTGGCACTGACCGTTATTGCATCAGGCGAGCGCGACATTCCCAGACGCGCCTCAAGTTATGCAACAGTTTGTCAACATTTTTAGCTCTGTCCGCAAATAGAAACGTTGAAAACAGAAACAGATGAAAAAATACCTTTTTATACCCTTTGCCAACGAGCTGTGCATTAGACTGACATGCACTTGTCAAATGTACCGTTTTGGCTGAGCTCTGCTTCTTTGCTGTTGTTATTTTTGGCAATTCTTTTATTTAAATTGTTCGTTTTAGTTGTTTCTATTTATAGTTAAAGGTTCTATTTACTTTGCTATTGAATGAAGCTATATTTAGACAGCTAGCAGCTGCTCGCGTTTGTGTCGCAGTTAATTCCAAATTTCTTTATAATTTTCTTGCCACATTTATTGTTAATTAATGTGGGGCGCCACGGCAAGCAACTGCAACAGAGCAAAACAAAGACAGCCCAACATACAACACGAACAGCAATAGAACAATATAACAATACGATAGACACTTGCCGCAAGCGCTGCACCACGCGACGCCTGTTTCCGCTTGGCAGGCATCAACGTCGCCATCAGCTGCCGCTGCCCCTCTGCGTGGTCCTGCCTTAGCCCAGATGTGTGTGTGTGTGTGTGTGTGTGTGTGTGTGTATGTGTGTGTGATGCTGCTGCAACATAGCTTTGATGCTCGCTCGCTCATTGGCGCGACATGTTGTCCACACGCAGCCAACACAAAGCCATTGCCAATTCTATTTTTGAGCAGCCAGCCAGACACTAGCCAAAATGCAAGTGGTTTGTTTTGGTCTAAAATCGCTCCAAGTCGCATTCAACAGATGCGAACGAGACACGGATGCAACTGACAACACCTTGTCCACTATTATGGTTTGCCAATGCGGCGTATGCGCAACATATATGTCAATACACTTCAATTTCACTTGTCAGATATGCAAATAGTATTCTCATTTATATAATTGTCAATTTGAAGCTTTTTAGCTAGTTTTTAAACAGCTCAAGCAATTCAAATCTGTATCGAAATGCAAAGGAAGTCAGTTCGTACGCTGTTAACTGTCACGTCAATCAATTCCTTGTTAAATTATTGAAATAAATCTGGAGACCTATACATAGGTTTCTAACGTATTGAAAATCTAAGACAAAATCACATCAAAAACAAATCGTTAAGGATCATCCAGTTGATGTTCGAACATGGGCGACTCACCAGAACGCGGCAGCAAGGAAAATACAGCTGAAGTAGCCAGCAAGGAAGTCGCTCCCGATCTAGCAGTTAAGGAGAAACCAAAGGGCAAAGAGAAAAAAGCACAAAAAGAAGACGAAAAAGGTCGCGGATCGCTTGGGGCAGTGGCAGCGCAGGCCCCGAAGCCAACGACACGATATGCACCGACCTACCGCCTGGACCCAAAGAATCCGATGAAGCACGAGCGCATAGAGATAGTCGTCAAGTCCGAAATGAATAAGAACTATGATGCGGATTACGCGTTCCATCCGAAATACTCCCTACACATGGCTGCTCAGGTCGCTGAAGACATTAAAGCGCGTATCAAATTATTAAATTTCGATCGATATCGTTTCATAGTGCTGATCACTGTCGGCGAATATCTAATGCAGGGCCTCTACTCGATGGCAAATTTTCTGTGGGATGCCGAAAAGGATGGCTACGTCAACTATACCGTTGAAACACCCAAATATTTTGCTGTCTGCACAGTATTTTATATATACTTTGATTAGGACACCTAGGGAGGATTGATTCTGAGTGAACTTGACTGGACTGCAATTGGAGTAGCAGGAAAACGAGTTGGTTTTATAATTTAAAGAGCATATATTTTTGTAAGCTACCATATATTCAATTATATATTAGGGCGTGTAGGCCCCCAGCCAGCATAACTTGTCTATTAGTGCTGATTTAAGGCAGGCTAAACTATGTTTCGCATGCCTCATAAATTGCGTACCGTCACTTCCATCTGATATAGCTAACATAACCGTACAATATTATCGCACATAAGCCAAGCCAAAGTGCTCGCCCATTGGCAGCTTAGTCGTAAATTTTATGGCCAAAAGCAACAGTCGTTTTAGCCAACATCTTTCGACTGTCCATGCACAAAACTAATCATTCAAAACGCAACGGAAGTTGCGGCGGAAATTGTGGCAGCTGTTAGCGTTGCTCATTCTGTAGCTCTGTGTGTGTGGGTGTAGTTGTGTAAGTGCTTGCCTATGCTGCTGCGTTGTAAACATCAATTATGTATGCTCCGGTATATGCCAGCAGCTATACACGAAGCCAAGGCGCGCCCGCAAAGTATGCTATGCTAGGGGCATAGAAGGGCGAACGCTTCATCAGTATAGTTGTTGCTGTTGTCTTTCTGTGTGTGTGTGTGGGTGTCGTGTCTCTTTCTGTGTCTGTGGCTGGCACTTCCTCTCGGCAACAGGAAACAGGATGCTGTTAATGTTACAATTCGACATAATCGATGCTTGTCGTACGAGACTCGCATTTAACCTGGCAATTTGTCGGTTGCATAAACATTAAGTTTTATTTGCAGTTTATCTGCGCGTTACCACTGCCCCCGTTTGTACCTGCCAGCTCCCGCTGCCACCTGACACTAGTGGCATGTATAAATCAAGCTGTGGCATCTTTAATAGCTAGGCCAACTTTATGGCACATTAAATTTCAAGACAACAAATAAAAAACGCACACAGAAATAAAAATGATTAAAAAATGCAAAATGTGCTAAATGCTGACCTTTATAACAACGTGACGTGGCGAATTGTTGATTTGATTTTTATCTCTGCCTGTTTTTTTTGATTGTAAAACAATCTACGCGATGTTTACATATTCATTTGAATGCCAATAGCAGATGCAACAGCAGCAGCAGCAGTAGTAGCAGCAGCTGACAGGTTCGACAAGCGAGGATTATGCAAGCGCCACAGCTCGTGAATAGAATTCGACAGACCAAAAATCAAATATACCAAAGACAACAACAGCTAAACGCCATGTGTCGCTGTGCATGTCTGGGTGTTTGTATCTATATATACAATATGTACTACAATCTGTATATATGCTGCAAAAGTGAAACGTATATTTGTAAACAATATGCAGACGTCATAGGCAAAACTCATTTAAAAACAAAAAAAAAAGGAAAAAGAGAAAAAACAACAACTTATATATACATAAATAAATATAAAACAATAAAAATTAGAAAAAAGTACAGAGCCAAGAAGCGCACAGTTTAGCAGCAACAATGTTTTTTTTTTTGCTCTCTACACAATATTTCTGTAGATTTTGGTCATAGCGCTGAAAACTTGTTTAACTACAACAGCAACGAGTTGTGGCTAATACTATAAAATGTATATAGATATTTAATAACAATTTATAGCGAGCGCTATAGTTTGTTTTGTTCAGTTTTTATAGGTTTAATATGCAACGAGCTGTTTTTGCCTTATTGGTGCGAGCAGAAATTTCGCATGTTATCGCAACATGACAAGTGTCAGTGATATACGCCGGAGGCGGGGGCAGGCCGGCGGGGCAACAAAAAAAAAATATAAAATATATATAAAATATTAAGAGCAGCAGCACAAACTAACAATTTGACAAAACGTGTTAGTTATGGACACGCGCAACAGAAAAAAAAAATAAAAATAAACAAACCAACTAAACTTTATAGAAAACAGCATTGAAAAACGTTTTAGGCAGAGCTTATCTATGACTGTGAGTCATGTCGGCCATTATATATAGCTATGAATATAGTTAAACTTACTTCAATTGTGACATAAGTGTATTTAATTCATGTGCAGAAAATTTAAAATTTATTATTTATTTGTTTTTGTTTACTTTTCGTGCACAACAACAAAAGAAACGAACTTGTGCGCACTCTCTGCAGCTCTATAGAGAGCTTATCTTATCAATACACTCTTTTTGTTTTGTATTTCAGTTTTTAAGTAAGCGATTAAGTTGAGACTTTCGCGAAATGAATCATGGCAGCGCTTTATCAGTTGATTGTCAAGTTAAGGCGGAACGCGGAGCGTGAATACGTTGTTGTCCAACGTGGAGAGCGCGCACCGGCAAACTAAGTTAAATCGAATCGAGTGTCGAATCGAGCGCCAAACAGCAACACGTTTGTGGAACCAGAGCTGCTGACGGTGTGACGTGCATAACTGACCAACTGACTGAGTGACTGACTGAGTGAGTGCTGAAGGTGCCAGAGGTGCTGGAGATGTTTGAGGTGGGCGTCGACTATCGATAGTCGACTTAACTGGCATTATGCGCGATTCTCTTTCTCTGTCTCCCTATCTTGCGCTGGCTCTCTTTTAATTTAAACAACATTTTATGCTGTTGACATATTTGCACTGATTGATGGCACACGGCTGAGCAAACAGCAGAGTATTGAAGAATCAGGGAATTGTAGAATTGACAAATGCCACAGCACAATAGCCGGTTAATAAGCGAACACTGCACACACTGCAGCCGAAATTGAATTAAAGCTGTTTCTCTGCGTTTACTGCATGCAAATGAGTTGTGGGCAACAGTCAACGCCTGCGGCCGACCAGTCGCTCCGTGCTACCTGACCAAACAATTGCAGTACAACAAAAGTCATTTGGACACACACACACTGGCATAGGAAGCCGCACTGGCTCGTTCTCGCTCTGGCTCTCTCTCTCTCTCTCTCTCTCTGTCTCTCTGTGTCTATTTCTCTCTTTCTCTGTCTGGCAGCATGTTTTGCATACAAAGCAGGGGCCTGTAATGACGCCAACTGCCTGTCCAGAGACTGGCCAGGATGTGATGCCTTATTGTAGCACTTCGGGCACAATGCGTATTGTGTGTGCTCTTTGTGTATACCGCATGTCTGTGTGTGGGTGTGTGTGTGCGTAGCATTTGTCTGATAAGTTTTCACAAACATTAGCAGTCGTCTAGAGCCAAGTTCGCTTAAAGTTTATGCATGCAAAACAAACAGTTGCTTTAATGCATCAAAAATCGTACGTGGAAATCGTACGCTGAACGAAAATATTTAAACAATTTAATATGCCATCAATTAAGTTCCTATGTATCATAGCAACTAGTAAATAAATATTGTCAGTTTTTAATTTTTGGCAAGCTTTTGCACTGAACTTTGATCAAGCGTAAATGCTTTGTTTGACTTCCTCGTTGTGAACTGCACATTGCGATATATATATTTATCTACATATAGTTTATACCTTTATGTTCCGAAAATTTGTTTGACAGTCTGTAAACAACATTTGCAAATACATAAACAAATCAAAAATTTATCAATTAGTTTTGGCTTTGCCAATAACAAATCAAAATTTGATTGGATTTGATTTGCTTTTCGTGGAATGTGTTAAGGCGCCTGCTGATGCTGTTACTGCTGCAGATGGGGATCAGTGGCAACAAGGCTTACGGTTTGTGACATTGTGTTAATTGTCTGTTCGGTTGGCCCGTTTCATGGCCTGGCGACTACTGTTCCGGCTCACGAGCAGCATATAAATAGGACATGTGTGTGTGTGCACGTCCTCAATTAAAATTAATTATGCCCAAACGATACGCTCAATAAAAATTTAATTTGCAAAAAAATGAGTCAAGAAAATGAGAAACATAGACAAAATTTGACATTTAAGTGCCATGTAACACACACACACACACACACATGTCCAATAATTGAAATTGAATTTTCAATGATAGAGCAGAACAAACACTATATGACGATGTCATCCCGTCTCGTTGTTGTTGCTAACCACCCGCACGAGCATTTTGGCAAAACTATTTTTAATCAAGTGCACACGTTGGTTGCTTTTGGCAACTGCACCAAATCAAAAAACACACACGCACACGCACAACATACTACATTCATTTTGTGGGCTGGCATCGACCGGATGCTGTGTAGGCGTGACCAGGCCAACAAACAAAAACTGGCCGCCCTTTACTAGCTAACGAGCTCTTCGCTCCAAACTGAGTGTCTCAAGTGGGCGGTACGAAATGGAGAACAATAAACACTTGGCCGGAATATGTTCTGCATTTAGTTTTTATCAGATCAGGCGAGAAATACAAATTAAAAATAAATTGGGGGGTAAAACAACAGAACAACAACAAAAACTAGAGAAAATAAAAATCAAAAGTGTAAAATTCAACTTGTTGGCTCTGTGATCCTCTTCTTGCCTCTGCTATGGCAACGGCCATGTTGCGTGCCAAGTGGAAAATATTTCGCAAGTTTTTCTACATGAGTTGTTGTTGTTGTAGTTGTGGCCGCTCTACACATTTATTTATTGTGCGAAAAGAAAAGCCAAAAGCAAAAGAAAACGAACGAAAAAAGTGGAAATGCTAGAGAGCAGACGTAGTGCGACTAGCCAGCCGAGCAGGCAGCGCGTCTTGTGTTTAGTTTTTGTACATTTAATTTGGCATTGTTGTTGCTCTTGCCGGCTAAACAATAAAAAAGCATAATAAGCAACAATAACAGCAGCAACAACAATAGCACCGACTAGAAGAAGCAGCAACATTTTTTGGCAAACAATTCAGGGCTAAATATTTTGTTTATGTGTTTTTATCACACAGCGGCAGCAGCACCAGTGCGCAGCATTAAAAGTTTCTAAAACAAACCAACAACAACAGCAATAACAACAAATGCAAAGTCTGTAGAATGGTCGAATCGATGAATGTTGTGGGCGGGCGGTTGGCATCACCTGATTAAAGAAATATGCAAATTTTAAGAGCTGCTGCCCATAAACTCTCGAGTGCGTAAATAAAATAAATATTTACTTAATGCACGAAGTTGCTCGCATGAGTTTTGTGTTAGGAATCTGTTTAAAAATATAATTAGGCAATGCTTTAACGTCATCTTAATGCATTGCCTATCAATGATTGGTCGAGATATAAGGCGAGTATGCCTAACTAA